GGTTCAACTTTGGAAATGATGATGCAGACAATGGACCCCGGACTAGGTGCGTTCCAATAAGTCTTCCTACAAATATGACCATGCTGAGAAAACAAGGTCAAACAACCTTTATTTTATTTACTTACGTGCTCAAAGAACTGGCAAGTCAGGTTGAGTGTGGGCAATTCGCGAACCCAATCAGGAATCCTTTGCACCAACCAGGCCAGCCGGCAAGAGCATTCCAGCGGATTTCCCGTTAGATCGAGCAGGCGTCCGGCCTCTTGAAAGTAGGCAACCGCGCGTGCATCATTGACGCTCCGGATGGCATTGAAGGATAATACGAGGCGGTCGAGATCCTGAATCGACTGAAAGACGTCATAATCGAACCTAGAGATGCCATTTTGGCCCAGTGACACGACTTTTGCCGCCAGACCCTTAAAGGTGTCTATGTGAAGCCGGAGACCCTGGCCTCCCTGACGTCCAGTCGCGTCATCCTCCACTTCCTGACCATCGGATGGTCTGAGCGAGTGTCTTTGCTGTCGAGTTTGCTCCTGCAACGCCGGCTGAGCAAAGTTCTGCTGTTGTAGGTGAAGACTGTTCAACCGTAGACCGGCGAATGTGAACGGCTCCAGACGAGTCAAAGCGTTGCTAGACAAGTCGAGGCTGCGCAAGTGTACCATGTCGATGAAGGCCTTCGACTGAATGCTGCGTAGTCGGGAGTTGATGATCTTCAACACCTCGACCTGTTCCAGCCCAGTCAGATTGGCTCGCGTCAACCGGCCAGGCGAGGTGAATTGGCCCTGTTTTACGAGCAATTTGAGGCTGCCCGTTGGCAAGTTGGTCGGTAGGCCTTGTACTTGATCCGTCATGTCACAGTCCACTGTTGCCTCGGCGCTTCGGCAATAGCAGATGCTGTTGCAGAGTCGGGGCTCCACGAACTGCCCGGTGGCACTCTGCGACCAAACCAACATGGTGAGCAGCAGAGGTACATGGAGGAGGAGCAGTGGCGATCGAGAGAACAGGGGGAGGACAGTCAGAAGGCGAGATGGAGCAGATGTTCGCTCAGTTGCATCGCAAGAGTGAGAATGGCCGCTCGAGTCGAACGCTACACTGTGGCTGAGAGTCGGCAGAGACGCGGGGCAACTGGGTTTTAATGAGTTGCTGTGCTGCCACTGTTGATGATGGTCACGATTGCGTCGCGTCTTCCGGTGAACTATGCCTTCTCGACTAGGACACTGGCGAGGATAGTGCTCGTGTATTGAAGGTAGCTGTAGAATTCCGCGACTCTTTGGGTCAGGCGACTTTAAACCGTGGTGAACATGCAGTTGCATCTCTGTCCGCACCCTAGTCTGGGTGGGCGGCATTGTATTTGAAACTTAGTGCTGGCAATCCGTGAGCCACGTTGTTCGATGGTCAATTAGGAGCAGCTGTGAGTTGAGCAAAAAGATAAATAAATGGACAGGAGAGAAGATTAATGTTGTACTATGAAAGTGAGTATATGCGTCTTAACAAATCATACCTGCCAATCTAGGGGCAAGCAATTTGGTGAATTTTTAGGTATTAACTGTTTCTTACTCGGCTATCAGAAGCGAGATATTTGTCGAAGTATACATCATACTAAGTCGATTTTCCGATACTACCAATTATCAAGAATACTATGGTAGATCAAGTTCAATCAAGTTGCGAAAAGGAAGTCAGACCTACACCATAAAGCTAGATGATACTGTGACCAAACCTAAGGTCACACCATCTTGATCTTAATATCTATGCTATAA